CTGCAGCGGGACCCGGCCGGGCGGCGGGGGCTGCAGCCCCCTCGGTACCGTCCCGCCGGGACCCCCGGCCGCACCTGCAGCCCCCCGTCCGTGCCCCCGGTAGGACCGGCTCGGGAGGCAGCGCCAGCTCCGCGCCCACCTCCTCCGGGTCCGGGGCTGCTCCGGATGAGCATCCCCGTGCATCCCGAGCGCTCCCGGTGCCTCCCGAGCGCCTCGGTGCATCCCGGTGCCTCCCGAGCGCTCCCGGTGCCTCCCGAGCGCCCCCGGTCAATCCCGGTGCCCCCGGTGCCTCCCGAGCGCTCCCGGTGCATCCCGAGCGCCCCGGTCCATCCCGGTGCCCCCGGTGCATCCCGAGCGCCCCCGGTCCATCCCGGTGCCCCCGGTGCCTCCCGAGCGCTCCCGGTGCATCCCGAGCGCCCCGGTCCATCCCGATGCTCCCGCTGCCTCCCGAGCGCCCCCGGTCCATCCCGGTGCCCCCGGTGGCCTCCCGAGCGCTCCCGGTGCCTCCCGAGCGCCCCCGGTCAATCCCGGTGCCCCCGGTGCCTCCCGAGCGCTCCCGGTGCATCCCGAGCGCCCCGGTCCATCCCGATGCTCCCGCTGCCTCCCGAGCGCCCCCGGTCCATCCCGGTGCCGCCCGAGCGCTCCCGGTGCCTCCCGGTGCCCTCCGGTCCATCCCGGTGCCCTCCGGTGCATCCCGGTGCCCTCCGGTGCCGCCCGAGCGCTCCCGGTGCCTCCCGGTGCCCTCCGGTCCATCCCGGTGCCCTCCGGTGCCTCCCGAGCGCTCCCGGCCGAGCTCAGCGCGCCGAGCGCGGCACCCGGCGGTGCGGGGCGGGAGCGGCTCCGGTTTTAGGCACCGGGAAATTAAATGTAGCCCCAAGGTGCTCGGAATTTCTCCGTCCCCGTCTGTGGGTTTCGAAAGGATCTGAGGTCACAGACGTGCCTAGCCCACACCCAGGTCCTGTCCTTGCCCTCCTCCCTTTCTTTCTGCGTTCCTTTCTGCACTATAGAGATCCAGTCACTGACCACCTGAAGCTTATTTGAAAGACAGTTAATAGCATGTTTAATAAAACCCAAATGGTCTTTTGTGAGTAGTTTTTTGCTTTAAGTTTTAGCTCATTTATAAACTCATGAGTTTCCAAAAATATACCTGCTTTTCTCATTTTGCTGCACAGGACAGAGAGTATGAATAGCAGACTAAGTAATAAGGTTTGCACAAGATTTAAGCAATAAGGTTTTTCAAATTTCAGAATTACAACACCAAGCATTTTCATGCAGCATTCAGAAAGTCAGAGAAATCTGTTTCTATATTCCACTTGTTCTCCTCAGCATTTTCAGAACTTCAAATAATTTGTGCCCTCCAACAGAAAAGAGAATCCCACTTTTTTTTTTTTTTTTTTTTTAATTGACAATATCCAGAACAATAACAAAGAAGCAAAAGGGGAAAAAAGGCAAAAAGCCTTGAGAAATTCCAGTGTCTCACAAGAATACTCTTCTCATGCCTAGACTTTACTGCTACAGCTGTAAGAGTCTAAAGGGACAAGGCTTGCAGGATATTTTCTTTGACCAGGTTATACAGCTGCATGGAACAGACAAACTTGTGGCCATTGCAGAATTGTGTATTCCTTTCTGCAGTGTGTGGGACTCTCACCTCCTCCATTAGTTCATCTCCTCTTTGCTTCCTGCTCTTTTTTTTCTCCATTTTCTCTTGCAGCTGTGGATATTAGGCCACTTCCAGCCCTGATTTAGGCAGGACAGCCTGTGGCACACAGCAGCTTTGTGTGTTGTGAGCACACCAGCCAAATGCCATGTATAAAAGCACGAGCCCTGCACTGGGTGGTGTCCCTACCTTGCCTGGCTCCTGTCACATCTGCTGCTGCTCTCTGTTCCTCAGCTCTGAGTGCTGCCATTCCATTTGTGGTTACAGCAAAGCCATTATCAGTACCTGGGCACTGCCAGGTGCTCACCAGAGCACTCTGGAGAGGTCACTGCACCTCACAGGACAAGAACCACGTTCTGGTGTGGGGACAGTAAATACACTCTTGTACACCTCCTTAAACATAACACCCCAGAGCCTGAAACAAGTCTCTCACTGATGAAATGCAAGGTATTTCCTTATGCTATCAGGTAATAAAATAGCAGTTCAATAGAAAGGAATGTTAATTGGAAAGAGAGGAAATGATATCTTATTAGCAACACTTCTGAACTGGGTATAAGAACTGCTGGTTTAATAGCACAGCACTTCTTTAATCGCTTTGTGCTTCATGGCTCTAAAGCACTTTTAAATCAAGCACACGACATCAAGTCCCCAGAGACAGATTTATCTCCTGTGTGAGAGGAAAAGTACACAAGTGATCTGTCAGGGCTGCACAAGGAGTCTGAATTCCTACATCTTGGCTGCAGTCTCGCCTCCCCAAGGACCAGCTGTGCCATTTATTGCATACTTCTACAGCATCCAAGAATATTGTTACCATCCAGCACATCTTCCCTTGTGTTAGCATTGGAGGCCGTTTGTGAAGCTACCTTAAAGCTGATTTTTCCTCTCTAGCATTACCATGTGCAACTACATCCCAGTATCTGAGCGTGACACTTGTATTGCAAGGAACACATGCTCAGAAGACTTCTGCAAAGTCTGTAGAATGCCACAGGTAATTTGAGGGTAACAAAAATCTTCAAAGGGGTATTTAGCCCTAGTCTAAATCTTTCTCCTTGTGGTATACTAGGGAAAGTAGGATTACTTATGAAAATCCTGTATCTGTAAGCATGCATGAATTTTCAATTTCATAAAATAACCCAAGTCCTAATGAGCCTTAAGAGCTCATCACCTTGAGAAAAGTTGAATGCTCCTGGGTTTAAAGGACACATGCAGTTAACAGCTGCATTCCTTCCTCAAGGAGGCAGCAGTAGGGAAAGTTAGTCTTCCTTTAAAGAAGTTTCATAGTTTTAAGAAAACTGCTGTGGGTATGAGCGCTCTGCAGAAGCAGCATTGCTGACCTGAGTGCACTCGAGCCTCATTCCCTGGCAGTCCCAGACCAGCTCCGTGCTGTGCCTCCTCTGCAGAGCCAGCCCTATCAGGCTCACTCCATCCTCTCAGGCATTCCCGAGGACATGTCCTCAGCCTGCTGCCTCACTGGGTGACCCCAGGGCCCTGCTGAGCCAGGGAGCACTGCAGAGGATGCACTGCAGAGCTCACACCATTCCAGGAATGCCACGCTGCTTCCAGCATTCCTTCCAAGTGTCCTGTGCAGAGAGCAGAACTGCCCCAGCTCCAAGGCACTGTCTCCAGCACCCAGGGCAGCAGCCTGGGCTCTCTGGGCTGCACTGAGTCAATGCTGATCCCAGCCTTGCTGTCCCCTCCCCAAGGCTCTGTCTGCAGGGATGGAAAGCCCTGAGCACACAAACAAACCAGTCCTGCAGACACGAGGGAGGTGCAGGGCAGAACTCTGCTCAGCCCCAATGCAGCAGAAACAAAAGCCACACGCAAAGGGCTGAGCACAGCCCCAGTCTCCTCCCTGGGTCAATGTTTACAAGGGCTGCCAAGGCAAGAGGTGGGAGGAAACAGTTGTGAACGAAATGGGTTTGAGTTCAAGCTGTCCCATGGACACTTCTAGAGATACTCACAGCAGCAGCAACTGGACACAGGTGACAGCAGCACCGGACACAGGTGACAGCAGCAGGGGCCTGAACCTGTCCCAGGAGCAGTCCTCAATGGAGGGTCCCTGCTACAGGAGCAAGCACAGCACAGAGAGCAGCAGCACTGAGGGACACACGGCTGGGACTGCCCAGGGACACAGCCCTGCTCCAGGGCAGGGACAGGGCACATGGAGAACACCGCCAGGGACACAGCCCTGCTCCAGAGGAGGGACAGGGCACATGGAGAACACCGCCAGGGACACAGCCCTGCTCCAGAGGAGGGACAGGGCACATGGAGAACACCGCCAGGGACACAGCCCTGCTCCAGAGGAGGGACAGGGCACATGGAGAACACCGCCAGGGACACAGCCCTGCTCCAGAGGAGGGACAGGGCACATGGAGAACACCGCCAGGGACACAGCCCTGCTCCAGAGGAGGGACAGGGCACATGGAGAACACCGCCAGGGACACAGCCCTGCTCCAGAGGAGGGACAGGGCACATGGAGAACACCGCCAGGGACACAGCCCTGCTCCAGAGGAGGGACAGGGCACATGGAGAACACCGCCAGGGACACAGCCCTGCTCCAGAGGAGGGACAGGGCACATGGAGAACACCGCCAGGGACACAGCCCTGCTCCAGAGGAGGGACAGGGCACATGGAGAACACCGCCAGGGACACAGCCCTGCTCCAGAGGAGGGACAGGGCACATGGAGAACACCGCCAGGGACACAGCCCTGCTCCAGAGGAGGGACAGGGCACATGGAGAACACCGCCAGGGACACAGCCCTGCTCCAGAGGAGGGACAGGGCACATGGAGAACACCGCCAGGGACACAGCCCTGCTCCAGAGGAGGGACAGGGCACATGGAGAACACCGCCAGGGACACAGCCCTGCTCCAGAGGAGGGACAGGGCACATGGAGAACACCGCCAGGGACACAGCCCTGCTCCAGAGGAGGGACAGGGCACATGGAGAACACCGCCAGGGACACAGCCCTGCTCCAGAGGAGGGACAGGGCACATGGAGAACACCGCCAGGGACACAGCCCTGCTCCAGAGGAGGGACAGGGCACATGGAGAACACCGCCAGGGACACAGCCCTGCTCCAGAGGAGGGACAGGGCACATGGAGAACACCGCCAGGGACACAGCCCTGCTCCAGAGGAGGGACAGGGCACATGGAGAACACCGCCAGGGACACAGCCCTGCTCCAGAGGAGGGACAGGGCACATGGAGAACACTGCCAGAAAACACTGCCTGCTGTGCTGGCCAGGAGAGAAATAGTAAGCCCAGCTGTTGTCACACCTGAGAAAAAGGATACATTCTTCCTCATTTTGATTTATCTGACAAAGTAATTGAGAAAAAAAAATTCATTTCTATATCCATTTATTATTTTGGTCTGTAAAAATATAAGACTAATATACAACTACATCTAGCTTGATTTTTGTAAAATCAGTCTTCATTCGGTGAGATACCAATGTACATTATACATTAAAGTTGTAAGAAAAATACTGATATTTGACATTTTAAACAAATTCATTCATGTAAAAATCACATTGCAAGTAAAATTTAATTAGAAAATACATAATATTCACAAAAATACACATGTTAAAGACAGCTTGTGAGAACATTGTCCTAAATTTAATTCAGGTGTGGAAAAAAACATATGATTCACAGTTAGGCTTGACTTCTCCAGTACCACAGCAGAACTTTAAAATAAATGCATCTTAATTCTACTAAGAATTTGTTCTTCCTATTAAGGTGCACTTGGATCTCCCAGCCACCAGGGAGGAATCACTTGTCCCCCTCTGTGCATGTACACAACATGTAACACTAGTCAAAGGAATTTTAGTTTTTCATTCCATTCTGAAATAATTTGGGTATTTCATAAATTAATTTCTAAAATCTGGATTGAAAATACAATTCACACACACAGGATACTTAACACACAGATTACATCAATAGCAGCGTAACATTGTCGATCATGCGCAGCATCCTCACTATCACTGCTGGATTTTTTTTTTTCTCCTTTTTTTAGCTATAGATAAAATCTATATAAAACAGTCAAGCCTTAAAGTATTGTCTTCCAGGGAGAAAACAGTATAGATGTTAAAAATTTAGGAGGTAGTGAATGAAAGGCTAACAATATCAGCATATTTTAAAAAACCTTATACTGAACCCCAGTATCATTTATATATAAAATTAAATTTAGCCACTCATAATCAACCATTGATCATCCCTAAGTAGCAATTTAAAAATCTTTTGTAATTAGCAGTGTATTTATTAGTAAGATATGGAAGAACTTTAGAAAGTTTATGGTAACTGCAGCAGTAAGCAATTACATGCTGTGCAGTCTGTCATTGTACCTGTAAATACATATTCTTCAGTTTTATTATTTTAAGTTTTTATCAAGTCCCAAATGCTTAGTTTTACTACATGTCACCAAATTTCTGTGAAACAGAACATGATCTATGTCAAAAATACCATTATCTCAGGTTTAGATTACTCAGTTTGCAGGAGAGGTCCTAGGAGATGAAGTCTCATGCAGTTTAGAGCAGGACCTCAGTTAAATTTCTACAAGTCCTTAATACTGGCATAAATATTATTCCAACTACCCACACACAGGCCTGGCAGCACAGCAGCCTCGGGGCTGGCACCTGCCCAGTTCCTGGCCACACTCAGCCCCCCCAGGCAACTCCAAGCTCCCAGCTGTGATCTGAGCTGTGAAATCCTCACGGGCCACATCAGCCCCAGAGGGGATCTGCATGGAATGAGAACGTTACACCTGCACCAAGTGCACTACCAGTTCCTTCTCTGGACCTCTCTTCTCTTCCCATCCAAGTGCCTTTATTCCTTTGATTATTCACAATACATTCAAGTAAACCAAAGGCACAGAAGTGCAAACTAGCAGAATAATGAGTCTCACCCTCCACTGGTGATTTCATACAGGAAGGAAAGCCTTGTGACAAAGGAATATAAAGATATTTTCAAAGTAAACAATCTTCCATAAAGAAAGGAAGTGTAGAGCAGCACTGAGAGAAAACATGCACAGGTAAAGTCTCCATGTTGCAGAATGAACATTTCTTTTTCTCATTTCACACTGAGGGGAAACAGTTACTTCATTTTCAATAATTATTAGCAAAACAAGTGAAACACTTGAAAGACCTTGCTCTTGTAAAAGATTCCAGGGCTCTCCACACACACACAGAGAAACCATAAATAAGTGTAACAAAAAAAGCCCCTCACCTGTATTTGCAGAGTACCACTGCCTGCTGTGCCTATTCTCCATAAATCCTAAGGGAGATGAATGCCTCTCCTGGCACCTTGGACTCCAAAGGCCTTGGAGGTTTGAGAAAACTACTGCTCACCAGATACTAATTTCCAATGTGCACTTTGTAACATCAAACAGCAGGGATTTGTTTCTGCAGCAATGTCTGCATCATCACAAAAACCTGAAACAAACACAGGTTTAGGCTCCGACAGTCTGTGACGACTTTTACCATTAAACTTACAGTTGAGTTGGTCTCCTATTAGTAAAGTTAGCAGAGGTAGATTTTCCTCAAATAGACTGAGGGGAAAAAAAGAAAGGGGTCAGTCTCCCTTCCCACTCATCACATCTTCCCAGAGGGTGGAACACACTCCCAAGCACCTGACTGCTGCTCTGGGGAGCACAGAAGCACAGGACAGAACTGGCAGCACCCCCCTCCTCCTGACAGAGGCCATGGCATCCCTGGGGAGATCCTTTTCCCCAATCCTGTTAGTCCCCAGCTCAAGTTCCTACCACAACTTCTGTTCCCAGAGGAGGGTCAGGTTGGGAAGCAAGGGCTGAAGGGGTAAAGCAGGAGATACAAAAAGGGGAAGGATAAAAACAATTGGTAGAAGCCTCCCCTGCAGCTGTCCCAGTGAGTGCCGTGGTTACACACACACCTTTGCCCTTGCAGGATTTGTCATCAGTGTTTTCACACACAGCAACACTGTAACAGCCACAACACCCAGCCAGGGGCACACAGCAATCTGCATTTACAGAGCAGATCCTAGGAATGAATAAGTTAATATCACATGGCTCAAGCAAGGTGTAGTAAAGCCTCATTCTGATTTAAAACTTTTTTTAATCCAGGGATTTAACAAGACTGTTCTAACTTGTTCAGGTTTGAAGAAAGTCACTTGTATATAACCCAGACTCATTTCAACAAACCTTTGCTAGTAGAAATCATTACAGTTTCTACTAGGACTGCAAGTGGAACAGAGATTACATTATGCTATTTCCACAGCATTGTTTACATTTGATTTGTTTGTAATTTCCTGGGATTAGTAACTAAATCCAATGATATCCTTAAATATTGCAAACTAGGATGAGAACAGGTCTTTGATGCATTAGTGTTAAGACTTTCACATCTGAATTTCAAAATCAGAGTCATTAAAAGTAAGCTTGCCTGGCCATTAAAACCAGTAATGGTGCCTGACTAACACGCCCGTGGTTGCACATTCACTCACAAAGGAACAGTGACCTCCAAAGCCCACTGCCCCCAGAGCCCTGCTGTCCCTGTGCCAGCCAGGACCAGCCCAGTCACCCCCCTCTCTTCCCAGCCCACCTCTGGCCCTCTCCCAGCTCTGCCAGCGGAGCAGCAGTGGGACAAGAGTGAGGGGGCTGCAGAGAGGAATGTGAAACCACAGCCCATGGCACAGTCAGCTGCACACCTCAGGAAGTTTACTTCTATAGAACCAGTAGTATACGGCATAAAAAAATAATAAAAATCAAGTACCTTCAAAAGAAAGCTCACAGCCATCTCTTAGCTATCCTTCATTTTCAATTTAAATTTTCCTCATTCAATTTCAGCTATTTATCAATTATCGTCCAGCTTTGTGAATTATTTACATTGAAGTGCAGAATTAATGAAGTTAGTCAACTTATGTCATTTTAAATTTCTTGAATTTACTTTTTTTTCCCTCCTTTTAAACTAACTGCAGTGCTTGGTAGATGGAGAGGTATAAAATGTGTTACATATTAAGCCCAATTAAAACATGTATGGCATCCTTACTTATACAAAGCACACCAGTGTCATTTCATAGTGTTATTATAGTTCCATCTTCTTCTAAGGACTTACGCCCTGGCTCTGGGACTTCATACTCCATGCTAATGCTGCCTGCTGAGTGATTCAAGTTCATCTCACTGGAAGGAAGGAATCCATTTTGTGTGGACTCGTGGAGGAGTTCAATTTGTGATAAGGACTCTATGCTTTCGCTGGCAGGCGCAGCTTTTGGGATCTGCTGTGGCTCGCCACTGTCTTCGATAATAATGTCCTCCTCATCGCTCTCCTCTTCTCCTTGCAGCAGACTCCCCAGAATGTTTGGAGTGCTGCTGGGAAGGCTGGACTCAGTGGACCGGCCGGAGCTGCCCGAAGTCCGACTGTTCCTCACGACGTTGTTCCTCTGGTTGGCGGGTCTGACCGTGACGATCAGGTTGCGGCTGTTCGCAATCATCATGTCTGTAACTTGATCGAGGCTTTTTCCTGACACCTCTATCCCATTCACCTCCAGCACCTCATCGTTGACAGCCAGCAGGCCCGTGCTCTGAGCCAGCCCCCCGGGGACCAGCCTGGATATGAAAATGCCCGGCACCTTCTCCAGCCCGTGCGGGGTGACCCTGACGCTGGAGCCGTCGCGGATGTAGAAGCCCAGCGGTTTGTCGGTGCCGTACTTGTAGAGCCGCACCCTGCGGTGGGTCTCGGGCAGAATATCCACGTCTATGATGGAGGACACGGGCCTGAAGTCCTGGGGCATGCTAATGACAATGTGGGGTTTCTTCTTGTGGTTATCCGGACGCAGCACGTTGGATAAGACGTTCTTCTTCCTCGTCACGGTGTCCGTCCCGAAGGCACTGTAGTCTGCATCTTCTGTAAGACAGAGCACACGGGGATTAGAGCCCGCAGACAGCCAGGCCACGCTGCTCCCGTGCCTCAGCTCAGCACAGGCAAACAGCTCAAAAGAAGGTGTTAGCCTTACTGTCACAGAAGAATTTCTCTCTACTCACGAAACAAAAGCTTTAATGTTATGAAACACAAAGTTTGGAATACTTTTGGTTTTCTACTACCGAAGAAAAGAGTGCAGGAAAGAAATGAAAACCGGTTAGCAGCAGCAGACACAAAGAGCTACAGCTGCCTGAGAAAGGGTAGAATGGAAAGAGCGAGTACATTCCTAGAAACATTTTAATTTTATTCAGAGTAATTCCACTTGCTAGTTTTCTCTCCTCAGGTTTCAGATCATTGGAAAAGAAAGAATGAAAAAGGGAAAGCAGCCAGCATGCCTATTATTGCCTAGTTACTGGGAGCCAGCCAAGTGACCTGGATTCAAACTCCAGAAAGCTTATTCCATTCTGCACTCTTCCCTGCCCCCACGCCATGTAGGTAAAATGGCTGTGGAGCAGAAACAAAGAGACCTTGCACACAGATACTTCAAGCAAAACTGTTCATGCAAGCAATGCTGTAACTGCCACAACTTGATACAGGAATAGGCAAACGGCTTAGAGCTTAAAAAAATCCAAAAGAAAACATATTAGTCCTACAACTACTTGTAAGAGACAAGAAAACATGTTCTGTGGAAGCAATACTGATTTCTGAAATGCTTATTTACCAAAGGTTCCATTTTCCTTTTTAATATGCAATAATTCACCAAAAAGAATCAACCTAAATACATTCAGACCTGAGCTTCCTCAGATTTACACTCATCCTTACTACACACATCTTTGGCCTACAGGGGAAAACCCCAATAATCATGCAGAACTGGAGTGCACTAACCCCAGGACCCAGAGAAGCTGGGATTTCTTTGTATTATCCCATTCAGATGCCATTGGTACAGCCAAGGAGGTGGAAGAATGGCTATACATTTCAATCTGTGGACTGGGCTGACTGTGGCAATGCTGCCCTGGTGGCATTTCAGGACAGCTGCCAGCTGCTGAGGAAATCAATGAGTGCACTTGCTTCTGAGGCTGAGATATACACACATGAACCAGTTACATTTGGACTCCTCAGATGCTTCAAGCAAAATAGAACAGAGAAAGTATTCCTAGAGCAACAGGCTAACACTACTGCAGCATGTAACACCAACTCCTCCCTCCCTTCCCAGCCTTTAGGGCTGCTGAAAACAAGAACAGTCCTTTGGCTGCTTGGACCTGGTACTCTGAAAGATAAAGGACAAGAAGAAAAGAAACAGATTTAAATTAGTCCACAAAAAAACCTCAACAGGATTTATTGTCAGCTCGTGGCTTGTGTGTTCACAATAGTGCATCAACATGTTTTAGAAAAATGTGTCCTGATGATGGCCTCATTTACATTTCTTTTTTATTTCTTTTGTTTTTAAAAAATAATTACACCGTAAGAAAGGCAAAGCTTTTGCTTAGCTGTTTGCTAAACACAGAACATCTTTTGCACTGATGTTTACAGCTAAAGCTGTTCAACAATTGAATGCACACAATCAGGAGTTATTTCTGAAGATATGCGATTCACACAGCCCTACTATGGCCTGAAGTCACTTCTGTGGCAATCTGTTACTTTGTAATTTAAAATTTAATTAATATAACACTAGATCTTAACATCAAGCACAAAGGCTTTAGAAACAGCCTAAAATCTAATCTTCCCATGTCTAGGAGTGTTAGGTCAGCTGTGTTGAAGAGCTGGTGCATTAAAAACCAATTCAATCTCCCCACCAAAGCATTTTAACAGGTGAACAGAGTCTGAAGGGAAACACCTACAGAAGTGCAAACTCAGCCTTTTCTCTGCAGAAGGCCCTTTGGAATGTCTGACTGACTAAGATCAGCTGGTTAAACCCCTGTACTCCATCCACTGCTGACAACACACTGACTTTCCAGGCAGCACGGAACAATTCTTTTCATGTTTGCTAAAAAGTTATGATCAAAGGAAAAGTGAGAGAAGTTTTGTCCTTATCTCCCCTGACAACCCATCCAACCAGTTTCCAGTTAGACATCTGGTGTTTCATTGAAAGGATTTTTGCAATTCAATGAGGTGCAATAACTTCTCTTTTTTTATTTAGAACTACAATTGTTTACAAAACAACCTGGGAAGGACAACTGTGAAATCAGACCCCAGACAGGTCTCACTTTAAATACAAGGTAACACTTGCACTCATTCCTGCTGAAGTGCAAGTTGCTGATGACAGCCCCAGGACACCGGTGCCACTCAAGCACTCTGCTCCTGCTGCTCTTAGAACAGCTGGTTTAGAAAAAGACACAGAAAACAGGACAGCAAAGCTTTGTCAGGACTGATTCTGTCACGAGTGCTCTCCCATGTGCATTACAACATCAAAATGTGTTCAACTGCTGGGGTTTTCTCCTTCAATTCAGAGAATCAGACTCTGTGGTATTTTACCTATTCTGTCATATCAAACATGTAAAGCATTCAAAGATCCCAGCTTGCCACAGTGGCTGTGAGGCTTCTTCACCTTCATGGCAGGACACACACCCTGCAGGAAGTCTGGCACAAAGTGGATACACAAACACATTTATTACATCCCAGGAGCTCTATCATGTCCTGTAAATGATCAAAGACAACCAGATCCCAGCCTGCCTTCCACAGCTACCAGCTGGCAGCTTCTGTCCAAATCAAATTTTTCCAGTTAGCAGAGAAACACGAAGATCAGCTGCAACAGGACTGGCTTTGAAATAAATATTATGTAAATGTCTGTATGCAAATAACAGATTCCAAAGGACTTTTTAAACAAAAACTAAGAGCAGAAAAACATTTCTTGGAAAAGAAAGGAACTTTAAAAGTTTCTTTCAGAAGACAAATAAGAAATCTTAAATTGACCTGGTGGTTTTGTTTTTAGTAACTCTCTTAAGTTACAGGACACATGGCTGAAATAAAAGCATCCCAAAATTGCAAGCCAGATGTCAAAACATTACGAAACCCTGAAAAACCAGAGGGAAAGTTTTTTTCATTATATCTGCTCTTAATAGTTAAATAATTCAGAACTAGCATGAACCTTAAGATAGACAGTTAAGGTTAGAGAATTTGTGAGGAAAAAAACAGTGGAAGGTTGATAAACTCATCTCCCCAAATCTCAGCAGAACAGCACACTCTGGGTTACCTCTCTTCCACCGCTAAACAAGTTTTCTAAAGCAATACTCTCAAGTACAAAGGCATCTTTGTTCTGGCACCTCACTAATCAGTTTAAAGCCCCGGCAAAAATATTTTGGCCTAAAGCCAAAGGACAAGGTGTTAACTACAGATAGTGTGAAGGAGAACGTCCACACGGTGCAGGAAGGATTTCTCCCCCCAGCAGTTTCAAGCTCAAGGTGGCACCAATCTGTACAGACTTATTACATGAAATTGAAAACAAAAGCCCTCAAATGCCAAATCTGGTTTCAATTTAATGTTATTGAAGACAGATTTTTGAAATATTTTCCTGACCCATTTGTAAATCAATGTAGAGTTACCCGTTGAGAATTAAATTTTCAAAGGCCCTAAGTAGTTAGTGTTTGAACAGAGATGCAATTTAGCATTTTTTAAATATGACCCAAGAAATCTCTAATTTACTCACAAAAACATAACAAAATATGGTTTTAGGAAACCAACCTGTGCTTTAGGAAGAGGCCTCAGAATAGCCAGACTAGTCTACAAAGAGCTGTTTAAAAAGCCAATTGCTCTTACCTCTCAGCAAAGTAAAGCTTCTCAGTGACAAAGTGTCTCTCAAGAGGCACAAGTGGATTAACCAAAGAATCCACTTCTCACTAAATACAGCCACATCCATGCAGAACTTGCAGGAGTTGGATATTCTAATTTAGAATCCTTCAAGGGACTGCTAAGGGTATTATAATGAAATGTATCTTCTGTTATCTCTGCTGTTCTCGTATTTACAATGCAAAGTTCCCCACATCAAGCTCCCTTCAGCCTGTGCAGACTGTTCCCCTCCATTTTCTCTTCAGAAAGGTTTTTCTCACAGACAGAGTGACTCCCATACATCTGGATTTAATCACAATACATCAGTTTAACCTTTAAATACCAGATGTCAACAGTACCTGTTAATCTGTTAAACTGCAGAATGAAATTCCAGCAAGGAATGTTTTCTGCAAGCTGACAGCCAACCCTGACTTGTGCAACATCAAGCCCCAGTTTAGATTTTAGCACTGGAGCAGTTTATAAAGTATTTTAAAGGAATTTTGTGAAATACAATTAGAGGAACCCAAGAGGAATAATTTGTGATTTAATTACAGGACCTCTAGGCTTTTTACCACATCAACCAAGCCACATAAATGTTCAGGACAAACAGAGCTTTCAGAAATGAAGAGTCAAAATCAAACAGGAGAGAAGAGAGTTCTTACTCTGCCATAACATTTCCCAAGTTCTGGAGTCCCATTATCACAACCACTGCTTATTAACAGAAGCAAAACCATCTTGCAGCTCCCATTTCAACCCCTCGAGGTGTTCCTTGCATGCAACATACTAAGAAGTTACATTACATTAGATTTCACTGCAGTCTGCTCATACCTCAAGTTAGCTATGCACAAATTGCATGTAGTTTCTAAATAGTTAAGACAGTATGATAAAAATTTCATACATTATAAGGAATCAAAACACTTTCTCTCTTCCCCACAGTGGCTTTTTTTCAAATATCTTAAATTCCCAACTGCTGCTGCTGGAAATACAAAAGAAGTCAAAGTTCCATTACAAAACCCACAAAAACTTTTCAGCTGATTTAAGAGAATGCATGAAAGCCACAAGTACCCTTGCAGGTGGAAAAGTAACTTGTGTCACTTATTATAGTTCCAAAGCAGCCCAGATCAAAGCAGGTATTTGCTAAGACATTTCTTTTCCATTCCAGAGGCAGAGCCAGTAAGGTTGCTGCAATCTGAAAATTAAGGACAGTTAAATCACACTGCACAAAATATGAACCATCCCTAACTCCACCCATCCAGCCTTGGCTAGAGGCAAAGCATCACCAATAAAATACAGAATAGTTCTTTCTGTATTTTCCATCAAACAAACACCTACCCTATATGCAAAGATGTCAGAGGAGGCAAAGCCTCTATTTCATCAACAGATGTGATCAGTGTGATCACAACTAATGGCCAGCAAAGTGCAGGGGGACTGTGGTGCCAGCCTGGGCTCTTTATTCCCTGAAACTCCACAAGCAGAAGGCTCTTGTGTCCAAGGGAAGGCAGTGACACCTGGGTACCTCCTACACAGCTTTTCCTGCTCATCAATTCTCCTTCTGATGAACTAAAATGGATTCGTCATCTTCTACCTTTGTGCATTGTATCAACTCCTGGCACCAGAGCAGTAGCAAATAATGCACCTGGATCAAATCAAGGTAAATGACTGTAGGAAACTAAAGAAGCATTACAAATGCAACGTTAGACCTGTCACAGTAGGAACAATCTAAAACCATATGGTGTTAAAATATAAACTCAATAATCCCAGTCTGACAAAGTGGCTTATCCCTTCCTGTCATATGGCTACTGTAGGGGATTAGATGGAATCACAGGCCTTGTGTCCCTGCAGGTTCTGCTGAAGCAAATGCTCCATGCCTTTGGCATTTCAGCACTGAGAACACAGGCCTTACCAGTCCATACTATCCACACAAACAAAACAAACATTTTGCCAGCACTCAGCAGCTGCCAAGCAGCCACACTGGTTATGAATATTGGGTTTGTGTCAGGCTCTTGTGGAGCTGTTCACTTTTTGGAGTGGGAGTTCACAAAGGGTTCTGATGCCCAAGCATCTTCCAAGGAAAAGATGCCTGTCTTAGCAACAACCAGGAACAACACCACAAGAACAAATACAAACTTCTAATTGGATTTTTTTTCCCTTCATGAACAAAAGCAGACAGTAGGAACACACAACCAGAGCAGACACACTACTTTTAAAAGCAAACCATCAAAGCAAGCAGCCCTCACTCCTGAGGTTTGCTAACTGATACAATCTTGTCAACTGAAAACTTCAAAATGTTTTATTAGGAAAGTGTGATAAGAGTAGCATATTATGAAGTTAGTTTTGAATTTATACTTTAATATTGCACTTAATATTTGATGTAATAACATTTTTAATATTACTTTCCATCTTGTAATGGTTTCTCCTTGTCTGATCAAGATTGGAATTTTAAGTGAAAAGTGTTCAACATACAGAGCAGAAAAGATGAGAGGTTAAAAGTTTATTTTTATTTGCTTACATAAAACCAGAAAGAAGCATTTGCTAGAGATTTAACTTGACTTTAACTCAACTAAATATAAGCAAAACATCACAAAGTATAAATAGGTTGCCTGAGGAAGCCCTTGCAAGAGAAACAAGCCATGAATACCTTTCACGACCCGTAATTATTTTGGAATTTGACATGAAGAAATAGGACTGAAGGGTTTTTTCCTCCATACATCACACTGTAACTGGATAAACAGATTATTATTCACATTCTTCAAGGGCTCTTACCTTTCCTCTGAATGAAAATCCTGAGGAGAGGATTGGCTGTGGAAACTGCTTTGTGATAATTGTCATCATTATTGATAGGCAGCAGGTCTCCGTGAATGTCCGTGTACCCCACCAGAACATCAACGTTTGGGATCTTGTGCACGTGCTGCAGTAATCCATAAAACTCCTCAAACTTTCCAGGTTTGGATCTCTCCAGAGAAAATCGTCGAAATTCTGCCCCAAACTACAACAAAATACATCTTACATCATTAATATGGAAGCAGCAATTATTTTATGTTAAACCAGAAACATTAGGGAATTAAAAAGCGCACTAAAAACTACAACAAACAATTCTGACACGGTATAAAACAGCCCGTGAAAACAGCTGGTTTTTTTTCCCAAATTATAACCAGTTCTGTAGCTGGTGAAACCAGGTGTACCTTTAAAAACTACAACAAACAATTCTGACACGGTATAAAACAGCCCGTGAAAACAGCTGGTTTTTTCCCCAAATTGTAACTAGTTCTGTAGCTGGTGAAACCTGGTGTACCTTCGAGCAGCCAAGGCTGTTCCGTTGCTCCATTTAACTGAGCACTGAGGTGACAAAGCAGTGCAGGGATTGCTGCAGATTCTCACAGGCTCATGAAGCAACCGCGCTGGCCAAGGGACAGAGCAGAGGCAGCGCTGCTGTGGCGCTCGAAGCAGGACTGTGATTAACATCCTGTGGTATGTGCCTACCTGGAATTTGCTTCTGAGAACTACCGGTGCCCTTGAGAACAGCGTGCAGAGATGGTTACACAACCGTGGGTCACCCACGCAAGGCTGAGCAGCCTTCACACCCCCAGCTGTTTGGGCAGGAAGTGAAAAGGCCCCTTGGCTGTGAAGACCACAAAGAACTGCTGGTCCTTTTCAGTACAAGCCCCGTGCAGCCCGGCTCTGGGGAGCTGATCCCAGCTGCACTCTGCTCCTACCTGGACAGAGCAGAGCAACCAGCCACTGCCTTGAAGGGCAGAAGATTCGCCTGCACGAGCAAGGCTCAAATCTTGATTGCAACAGGCTTTTAACTCAGGGCTCTAGCCAGGGTATAGAACCTGGATTTTCCAAATCTGGCAAGGTTCAGAAAATATGGAAAAAAAAAAATTAGTCACTGACACTACTTTCAGGGGTAGGATTTGCTTGTAGTCAACATAATCATTCAACAAAAAGCCCAGCTCACAAATCCACTCAAGCTCAGTCTCCTAAATCATCTCTAAAGCCAACACTTATTAAAACACGTTGCTTATTAAGGCAATGATAGTGGGGGCAGGCAGAGACTCAACTGTGTGCCAAGAAAAGGATGAGCATTTAATGCAGACTAGACAAACAGTGGTTTTTTACCACACATAGCTAGTAAAATGTTGGTCTTCTGCCTAATAAGGGCGGGACCCAAAGCAAACAGAATATTGGATAAAAATTACTCCAAATCCTCCTTATCAGGCACATACACAACATACCAGAGATGTCAAAAGGAATTCAGAGATAGCAGCAGCCAAGGTTACAAAAACCAGAACGGATTACATACAAATTAAAAGGATAATCATACACAACATACCAGAGATGTCAAAAGGAATTCAGAGATAGCAGCACCAGGTTACAAAAACCAGAACAGATTATATACACATTAAAAGGATAAAAAATAAATAATTCAATAAACCTCCGTTGGCTGCTTTTTCGTGTGAATTTTTACTGCTGACCTACAGTGAAAATAAAGACTTTAAATAATTTCTTTAGCGAGTTTAGTTTTAAGCGAGCAGAAGCACACGTGGAACAAAACGCTCCGAGTGCAGTTTGAGCCCCAGTATCACACACTTGGGTGTATGTTACACACAGCAGATGTGGAGGTGCACTTTTCCTCACACCTGATTACAATCTTTTGGAGAATAAAAGCCTTGGAGCGCTCACATACAAACAAAGCACTGAAAATCGGGAGACAAGGACCTCGTTGTTAGCACATTAACATCATGCTAACCCAAACCAAGCTACACCTTCCACACCCCACCTTCCTCCAAAAGCTTCAAATGAAGGCATTATCTGGGAACATTCCTGCCCTAAAAAACCTGCAATTAGCCTAACATTGACTAACGAGGCAGAAGGGATGATTCGTAGCTGCTTACAAACAAAAGCCCAGCCCACAGGAGGAACTCCCATCACGTCAGAGGCAGCACAGCTTAATCGTGACATCAGCGCAGGACTTCGTCCTGTCTCAGCTCCTTCCTCAGCTGCGGGAGGAGTGAGCCCGCAGGAACTGTTTGGCTTTCAAGGATTACACAGTTTAAACATAATTCAGTAATAAAAGTTTTAAAAAGACAACAACCTCACCCTCAGGCTGGAATAAATGTTGAATCTTACCACAGCAAGCAAAGGGCCAGATTTTCAAACCTGTGATTTTTGTTTTTTCCCATGTTATTTTATACATATTTGGTGCAAATACCAAAATACTCATAACCCACTCGTGTTGCCTAACACAGTTTGCTCAATACTACTAGAAAGCAGGTAAAAGACAAGTCCAAGTGTGCAATTCCCTTATTGGAATCCCTGAAATGTCTGCATTTTCCATCAGATGCTGCCCTCCACCCCATGGAACAGGCCTGCACTCGATGTCCTAGAGGAGGTGAGACACTGGAGGGGTAACTGAAGCAGAGAAGGCTCCTTGCCACCTGAGCTCTTCACTGCCCCTCTGGAACTCCCCCGGGAGAAGGCAGGGGAGCCACGGCAGCACACCAGGAAGGCTCCCGGGGGATGCTCACTGAACACTCATTTATGGGTCACCTTTTTAAGCCCTCTCAAACACAGCACAGAGCTGCTCCATGCAAGTCTCCATCACTGGCAGAACAGGAGCTGCAGTGACCTTCTCTGGCTTACCAGTTATTAAGATTTTACTGAGAGAAAAATATTATCCCAAGTTTTGAGAAAGGGGGAAAACATGAATTTTAATATATAGAGAACTAGAGGCTTATTTTGGGGTTTCTATACCATCAGTAGGAACTCTAGTCTGGGCTATAAAGCTTTATTTTCCATGACAAGAAAATGGGCTGACTGGGATTCAAGTGGGGAATCGCCAGGGCAAGCTCAGAGCAGTTACCCAAACTGAATAAACTAAACTAACAAAAAGATTGTGCTCATGTAACTGCAACCACAGTTGGGCTGTGCTGGCCCAGCCCTGTCAGCTGAGGCACAATTATTGATTTGGAATATCTAAATAAAGAGCTGCACATCACAGAGCAGCCTTCAAAGCCCAGGCCACTCCACAGGAATGGCTCCCTCCACCTCCCACACAGGCATTTCTTCTTTCTCTTCAGAATTGCTCATTTTCATAGAAGGAAGATGACTCCTCTGCGATATTAAATTGAGGTGCTGTTAAATAATGCATTAGCAACAAGTAGTTCTAGGAATGCCTTGAATCCTGCTCCATAATATGCACTTGAGGGACAATCCCTATTCATTAGGGCTACACTTCTCTGTACAAACACCAGGAACACATCACACAGCTGATTCCCTAGAGAGATTTTAAATCAAGGAAAACACACAGCGGGGAAAACAGTAAACCTAGAGTTCTGGGCTGAGGAAACAAGCGATTTGGGGTTTGTTAGCACATCATACTGATCATTCTCAACCTCGTAAGAGCATAAATAAAAGACTTCACCATCACAGCACTAACTTAACTGGTATTTGAAATAACAACTACCAGATACTCCTGTGCTTGCTGGTTTAGGCCACATGAAAAATGAACACTTCAAAGAAATAGCCCTCAACCAACGGCACATTCTCCAGAAGTTCCAGCACTTGATGCATTATCCTGAAACATCCACACAGCTCAAGTCCTGACTGCTTCACCTGCACTGCTGCTGCAACACCTCACTGGCAGGAGAGGAGGGGACAGAACACAGGCTGCTCCCCACTTTAAATAAAACACAGGCTGCTCCCCACTTTAAATAACAGCCCAAGAGATCCGTGTGTCCACCAATGGAAAACACATTCCCACGTGGATGCACTTACAATCTAACTAGGCAAGGGAAAAGGGACTTTAACTCAACATTTCTTTAATGAACAGTAACACTCCATCTCATACTGTACATCCAGCAGTTTTACAATTGGAAATTATTACAAACAGAAAGCAGAACAAAAAAAAAATATAATTTCTCTCAGAATATCTAAGTTTTAGCAGAAAAACTTTCCCTAACCACTAAAAAAAATTAAAAATAGAAGAGGCGTGACGCATGGGAGAATTTACAGAGCTGGGCAAAGCTGTGAGTACCTGGCACGGGTGATGTCTGCGGGAACACACAGGTACACACTCCTGCAACACTGCCAGGGTAAAAGTCTCTCGGGGCCTCTAAGAGAAGGCAAACTCCACTTTCGGATAAGCTAGCCAGGGCTCACCTCTACCTCCACTGTGAGCCTACGCTGTACCGCCCAAAAAGCTACAGAAAGACATAATCATTGGGGAAAACAGGTAACTACAGAAACAGTCACTAACAAACACACTCACTGCAATTCGGACAAAGAGAGGGTCTTGACGCTTGAGAATTATCACAGAACTTTTCGGGTTGGAAGGGTCCTCTGGAGACCATGTAGTCCACTCCCCAGGCATGTCTCCAAACACCTCTTTTGGCCCAGCGATCCCACACTTTCCCCACAGCACATATTTGCCTGTACGCCTTTTAGTCTGTCCAGAAACTCAGGGGTCAACTCCACTTACCTGTTTTTTTTAAACCACTTCAAAACCATTTATATTTTCGCCCTGCAAACAGAGCACCGAGCAAGCGACCCCACCACCTCCGGCAGCCGCGGCCCCGGGGGCAGCGGGACAGGTGGCGAGGCAGCGCCGGGGCCCGGCGGCCTGCGGAGCGCTCAGGCCCCGGCGGGGCCGTGCCCCGGCGGCCCCTCGGGCAGGTGAGTCAGCAGCCGTGCCCGTCCCTGTCCCCGCAGCGACACCGCTGCCCGACGGCCCCGCAGGGCCGGCCCGGTCCTTCCCCCGCGCCCGCGGCCCTCAGGCGGCGGCAGCTCCCACCTTGCTCTTCACCTCCATGGTGCCCAGGCCGCGGCTGCCCGCGGCCCCGCGCTGAGCCCGGTTCATGCCTCGCGCGGTCGCGGCGTCCGCTGCTCTCGCTGCTCTCTCCGCCGGAGCGCTGCGGGACGGGCAGCGGCGCGGCCCAGCCAAAAGCCCCGGCACCCGCGGCCGCTCCGCCGCCTCCGCCCTCAGCGCGGCCGGGCCGGGGCGGGCACCTGCCGGGGACCGGGGCGGGGCCCTCGCCGCGCCTGCGCCGCCTCCGCGGGGCCGCGCAGGGGCGGGGTCGCGCACCTGCCGCCGCAGCGCAAGATGGAGGCGGCGGTGCGGGAGCGGTGCGGAGCTCTGTGCTGCCGTCCCTGCAGCAGGTGCCGGCCGTGCCTCCGCAGCCGTTGTGCCGCAGCCGGGGCTGGAGCGCGGCTCGGCTCCCGCTGCCTCCTCAGGCACCTCCCGCCCCGGGGAGCCGCCATCCCGCGATTCCGCATCCTCGCACAGCCCTCAGGAGCCTCCATGCCGTGCTCCGGGTCCTCCACAGCCCTGAGGAGCCAGCCCGAACCCTAATAATCCCACAGCCCTGAGGAGCCAGCCCGAACCCTGATAATCCCACAGCCCTGAGGAGCCAGCCCGAACCCTCCCGCAGTCCTGAGGAGCCAGCCCGAACCCTAATAATCCCACAGCCCTCAGGAGCCAGCCCTAACCCTTCCACAGCTCTGAGGAGCCAGCCCTAACCCTGATAATCCCACAGTCCTGAGGAGCCAGCCCGAGCCCTAACCCTCCCGCAGTCCTGAGGAGCCAGCCCTAACCCTGATAATCCCACAGCCCTCAGGAGCCAGCCCTAACCCTCCCGCAGTCCTGAGGAGCCAGCCCGACCCCGAGCCCTAACCCTCCCACAGCCCTCAGGAGCCGCCATCCCGCGGCCCTGCGCCCTCACAGCCCCGGAGCCCCTGAGGGCTCTGCCCCCTCAGGCATCGACCTTGGGGATGGACTGAATGATCTCCGGAGAAAGATCCCTTCCGGCCCAGCGATTCTGATTCAGGGGTCTCGGGGTCCCCCGAATGTAACACACAAATCACACCAGTGTTGATGTTTGCAGGTTGCATAAATAAATCTTGGTCAGGCTGAAAGTGTGAAGTCTCCCTCTCGGGATGTGGCCACCTGTAAAGGTGTTCGTGGAGCTTGTTTTCATTTTAGTCACAAATAAGACTGCAGGATGTGGTAACGTCAGAGCTAACCTTCCTTATTGTATTAATTCTGAGACAGATCAATTTCATTTAAAGGCCAGTTAAGCTACCCTGACAAAAGTACAAAACCCACAGATTGTAAAGTCTGAAAAAAAAAGACTTCTCACATGTGTCTGGGCAAGAGGAACAGTATTAATTCTGAGACAGATCAATTTCATTTAAAGGCCAGTTAAGCTACCCTGACAAAAGTACAAAACCCACAGATTGTAAAGTCTGAAAAAAAAAAGACTTCTCACATGCGTACGGGCAAGAAGAATGCATGTACATTAATCTCATTATATCAACAGACCTTTGAATTACAGGTCTGTCCATTATCTATGAACTGGTAGAACAGAGCACAGAGTGAGGTTTCATCGTGCAGATCTTGTGTGGATGGCGGTGATGGGAGCTCAAACAATGCCTTGCAACTGAGGCACGCCGTGGGTGTCTAGTCATTCTCAAGGCTCACTTGGTAATCGGTAATTAAATAAAAAGCATCCAGTGCTGAATCACTTCTAAGTCGGTGCTGATTTTTGTGCAGTTGATCTTCCTCCCATCACGCCAAAGGCAAAGGAATTGCAGCTCTCACTCGAGCCAAGACAAGCTGTAATTAGCACAGAGGATATTGTTAATAGTTAAGTATAGTTTGCTGCCAGACGGTGTCTAGGCTGATTCAAGTCTTCTCGTCCTTTATCCAGCATGTGTTGGTTTTACACTGCAGAAGGATGCGTGGAGAATTCAGCCTGTAAATTCAGATAGAGTCTGTGATCATGGTGCAGTAGAAGGCAGATTACAGCTATGAGAGCAAGACCAGGATAAAACCTCTTATTCTGTCACTTTGTAATTATAACATTGAAAAGAGTTTGGACTGCTTTCCATATCTGTTTTCTACAGCTCTATTTAATGAGCTGAGCACGGAGAAGAGTGCAAGAGACAAGGGAACAGTGATTTCTCTGGGGCTTTAAAGCTGTTGGGTTGGCTCTTTTCTCCTGGAGAAAGGGAGGAAAAACCTCCTGGAGCTGATTTCTGCTTGGAGCCGTTGTGCAGTTAATTTTACTGCTATAGATTTATGAGGTATCGCCTAAGATAATTTGTTTTCTATTGTGCATTCCTAGCATGGCTGGAGTGCCAGGCAGTGGGTGTGGGAGCGAGCCTGAGGAGTCAGGGCAAATTCATTTCAAGTCACTGGAACCAACCTAATAAAATGTATTAATCACTGGCTGGCTTTCATCACAAGGAGCTGACGTATGAGGAAGGAATGTGATAAACAGTTTGATCTCAGATAAAGGTGGGGAGCGAGGCAGGCTCTCTGTGCCTGTTGGAAGGTTAGCTTATAGAGCTATTTTAGTCACAAGTTCTGGACAACCTGTGATTCAGACCTGATCAAGCTATTCATGGCACGTTCCGTTTCTGTGAAGTTGAAAGACAGGTTGGGTTTCCTGATCTCTGAGCAGCTGGGGGAGCTTTTTTGGGAGGCTTTTTTTTTTCTTCTTTGTTTGTTTTGGTGTAGAAATTCCATCACTTAGGTCCACCGTGCAGTACAGTGAGATGTGCTGTGATGTTGCTTTCCTGTCCCAGATTTCCCACATTTTAAGTGGAATTGTATTTCATACAGCCCTCCTGGGATTTCACAGAGTACTTCCAAGAACAAAGCACAGAAAATTTCTGTCAGCATAGGTTGACTGTTACTGATGATCCACCTAATCTTTCATTGCATAGTTCAGGGCTTATGCTGATTTCATATTTAACATAAAGTAGTCTTTATTTACACTGTCAGTGCCAGCTCAGAGGAGTGATTGTGATCTAGATGTACTAGATTATAATCTGATCTTGTCTTGGAGTTGATGAGAGACTGGAGGGTTTTTTTTTGATGGGGAGAGAAAACTAAGAGAGAAAAAGAGAAGCTTTCTTTTCAAAATGATAATAAGGTCCTGCTTTCTTTAAAAAAATAAATTCTATACTTACAGGCTTTGATGCCTTCTGCAATTTTGATCCATTAATCTCGTGTCCCAGTTACATTTCCCTACAAAGAAGCATTTTCAGCAGCAGTGTATACACTGGATACTCCATTTTCAGAATATTGGGGACCAGCGTGACCTCAAATTGCTTTTGCCCTCCCCTTGGTAAGTGAGGGACGCAGACAAACCAGTGCTGCCACGGAGGCATCTGATGTTCACAAAGGCAAAAATATTGTCCAGCACTGCTTCCATGTCCCCATGAACCCAGGGAAACACGTGGAATACCTTCCTGCCGATTGGGCTGGTGTGAGGCTGAAGTGTGACTTCACAAACGCTGCATCAGAGAGGAAGAGTCTGAGAAGAGGAGCGTGTTACTTCATCTCCATGGAGCACACTCCATTCCAACAGCCCTACACAAACACAGGAGTGAGGCTCAGAAGTAAACCCAGGGCATGGCAACGTAGCTGCTTTCTTAATAACGGGAGATATTTATTTATTATTATATTTTATTATATTTTATATATATTTAATATATTTATTTATTATAATATTTTATTATATTTAAATAGCACTCGTGTAATAAAAGTTTTATTGCTTACCCTGAAATTGTGACAGCTATAGGATTTTAATTTTGGGGTGGGTTTTTTGTTTATTTGTTTGTTTGAGGTTTTAATTTTTTTTTTTTTTTTTTTTTTTTGGGGTTTTATTTTTTTTTTTTTTTTTTTGATGGGGCAAACAATAGTTGGGTTAGTAATGAGTTTTTGTGTTCTGTTTCTGCCTTTGCTGTCTTCTTTCCTGTCAGGAAAACTAGCAGCATTTTTTCCTTCCCCACTCCTCCTCCAGGAACCTTTAGTTGTTACTTTGATGCAATATTTACTTACCTGTCTGTGACAAAATGAATTGATTGTTTTTAAAGCTCATATATGAGATCTTTTCCAGTAAAATATTTATAGTTTCCTGGCGCTGGGGGAAGGTTTCTTTCGTTTTGTACTTTTGTTTTTTCTGGCTTTATGGGAAAGGTTGTCTTCATACCATGCTGCCTGTGAAAGAAACATTTGTTTCAGGTGTGTTATAAATCCAGTTATAAACTAGGTCCAGCAATAAACTCATGAAGTTTTCTGAAAATACTTTCCTAGCAATCAAAAGCTGATACCGATACATTAATTTAAATTCTCTGAGGTTTCTAACTAAAATAATGAAAAGCTTTTAAAGCTTTTTCTTCCCCTTCATCTAGTAATCCATTTGTGTCCAATGAGTCTGAATTCCTTTGGAATTCCCCCTTGTGTAAGCAGGGCAGTTGTGCTCCCAGCTGACACCTCACACTTGTGCTGTGTGTGGGGTTTAATGATTTAACTCTCCTCCACGCTGCTGCTGAGCTCTCCAGGGCAATGGGTGACACTTCAGGGGTTCTTTACACGAAAGAATTCGTGAACATTTCCTGTTTGGTTTTCCACTACTCACTGAGTATTTCTGCTCCAGAATTTTGGGGCCGGGGGAGGCAAATCAAAGGAATAATTGTTGCAAAATTTACTTTAAACTTCCTTTGGTGGTACAGATTGAGATTTTAATTTTGTCATATTCTTAGCTTTTTATCTCTGCCTAATAAGCCTTTTGGAATAAACCCTTTGCTGTTGAGCTTATCTGGAAAACATATTATGGCTATTTGTGAAGAAAGCTCTGTCCTCTGCTAGTGACTGTCACCCAGTAAACGTGACAAAAGTGACACTTTTAAGTGCCAGCCCTGAATAAGGAGCACTTTTGCCACAAAGGAACATTTTTACATGAACGGTGGCTGATAGACCTCAAAATTAAAGCGAAGCAGCCTGTGTGGGCTCCCCAGTTTAATGTTTTATAAGCACAGCTCCCGTTGCACAGTGCCTGGCGTCCCAGCTGGGCTGGCCGGTGTTGTGTGCTGTCCCCTGTCCCCCAGGTGTGCCGGGTGAGCACGGCGTGTTATTTTAGCCTCCCTTTGTGAGTTTTTGTAGTGCTCCCATGGCCGAATCCCTCCTGCCCCGCGCTGTGGTGGGTGCTGTTCCAGGACAGGAACGCCTGAGCAGGGCAGCTCCGGGACAGCTCCGTGTCCGACTGAGACAACGAGCGCATTTCGCAAATGACTCCTGCATATGTAATGACAGCAAAAATGAGGATAGCTTTTATCGAGTAACGAACCGCTGCTCGTTGAGGCTGAATTATCACGGGATGGCGCAGGAGGCAGGCGGGAGCGCTCGCACGGGCTGGCAGCAGGAGCTGGCAGCTTCAGAACGGGATCGGACGCTTGGGAAGGGAATCGCTGCGGACAGGCCGTGTCCTGTGCCCACGGCGCGGGCAGCCGGGGTCGCCGCTGTCGCGACTGTCGCCGCTGTCGCCGCCGTCCGCCCGGGGCTGCAGCGGGGGCCGCCAGAGGGCGCTGTGCCCGCGCTGTCCCGGTCACCGGGGCGCTGTGACCCGAGCGACGGCCGTTAATTGCACCATTAATTACACCGTTAATTAATTACGACAGCGGCCTCGGCTGCACCAGGCTGCGCGGGACATGAACTGCTCCCATAGCCTTACGTGCGTTTGTAATGGATGTATCACATTGATGTTACCGTGCTTTAAATGTCACACAAAATCACAGAATGGCTTGGGTTGGAAGGGACCTGAAAGCTCATCCCACTCCACGGACAACTTCTGCTATCCCAGGCTGCTCCAAGCCCCATCCAAGCTGGCCTTGGGCACTTCCAGGGATGCAACACTTCCAGGGATAGCACAATGTTCCCAGGGATGATGCACACCCGTTTGATTTCTTTGGTTTGTCATAGGCTTCTTATTGTAATCACAAGATGAAGTTACCAGTACTTTAGGAAAATGTAAAACAATTACAAGGAATAAATGTTTTGGGGGAATATGAAACTTTTATTGTAATTAGAGGATCAGATTAATTTAGGCCTTTTTTTTTTTTTTGTCTCAGTGTTTATGTGTCCATACACAAACAAGCCAACCCGCTGTGAGACCCCAGAGAGAAAACAGACAGGTGTGTACACATCAGTGCAACAGAACTGCCCCTGTTTATTAACCAGACAGTGCTGGGGCAGTGGTCGTAAGTAAAACTACAAAAGTACAAGCCAAGGAGGCTTGAAAAGTAATTCAAATTTTCCATGCATGTCACATTTGGAAATACTGAATCCTGTGAGTTCAGCCACTGTCCCAGTTGTGCTGAGGTTTTAGAAGATACTCTTTGCTTCTGTTGGCAGGTCTCTTAGCTTCCCTCCTGAGCTATAATACCAGGAACTAAAAACTCCAGCACAGATAGATGCACAAAGAGGGAAAAATAATCATGTGCTTGGAGCTGGGGATGTGTGTTTACAGTTCAGTCTCACTGTAACCCCCTCAGAGGCTCAGAGCAAACGCTCTGTGCAGGGGGGGTTTGCTGGAACGTGCTCTGCAGCTTGTTGTGTTCCAGCAATGAAAGTGCCTGGTCAGTGCGTCGATAGGCTGAGGAGAATCCACTTCTGTGCAGATCACTGCACATTACGAAGATGTAAGTAACATTCTAAAATTAAAAAAATACAAACTAGAAAGGGGTGGGGTGGAGCCACAGGCAAATGTTGGCATACATATTGCTTGCATTAGGAGCAGAAGAATTATTGTCTCTGCGAGTCAGCCTGGTGCAAAGGATCACAGCAACAGGCCCAGCTACTGAGTTATTAGCTCTTGCATTTATAAACAGAGTTCTGGTTTACAGCAGCCTTTCTAAAAGTCAGTTTAGTCTGGATCTTCTTGAGAAGGCTGGGCTGCTCTGCTGGTTGGCTGCCTGTAATCTGGTCCATTTAGAAAACAAACAAAAACTACTTTATTCAGGATTTAAACAATAAAGTCGTGATTAATCTGATCATGCCAGAACACTGGAGATGCTGAAGCACTAAACGTGCAATGTTGTTGCAGCCACGGTGAATGCTTTGTTGTAAAATGATCTTTGTGTATCGTTGGCTCACAGTGATGGATGCTGAGTGGCTGAATTTGGGAAGGGTTTTTGTGAAGCACGCTGAGATCTTGGAGGAAACATACTGGCATTTTTTTATGTTCCATTAGGCCTGAGACACATCAGAGTGCGTTTTATTTTTTCCCTGTAAATATTATAATGGTGCCAGCAATGCAGTATTTGCTGCTTTTCATATGCGTGAGAATACTAAACATATGTATTTCTAAAGGAAATTCCAGAAGAATGTGAAACTAGCTTGTAGCAATAATTTGTAGGTTTGTGTCCATTGTTTTCAGGAATATGTAAATTGTTACATTATAGAACTCACTTTGAACCCTGCTGCATAATTAGCTGCACTAAACATCAGTATTCAATTTGGGAAATCTGTAGCCAAGTGTTTTATTAGAATTTCGTGGAAAAGAGGAATGTGAACAAAACCATAGAGCAAATGATCTGAAATGCAGTTAAAAATAATGAAAACCAAGCACCAGCCACATAAACACACCAGATGAAGACACAGCAAATGAAGACCATAAAAAACAAACTGGAATAAAAACACATAAAGCCATTCCTCGGCTGAAGTAAACGGGGACATCTGCACCAGGAGTGAGGGAAGCGTGGTCACTGCTGTTTGCTGAGGGGCTGCTCTGTGGATTTTGTTAAAAGGCTCACGGTCAGGAGGAAATGACATTAACAGTAGTGGGGTTTTGGGCAACTGGTTGCACAGGGCTCCTGCAGAGATTGGTGTTGTGGCAAATGTCCTCCTACAAATCCGGCTGATTTCAGCTTGTCCCAGCGTGCTCCACCCTGCTGTGGGGCCAGCACTGGGGACAGGGACCTGCTGCAGTGACAGCAGTGTTCCAGCACTGTCCTGAGCTGCAGGAGCTGCCGTGGCACCTCCCTCTGCCTGAGGCTGGGCACACAGCCACTGCTGCCTGCCTGGCAGCCTGGAAAACCCCAGAGAGCAGCAGGACAGCTGCAGCTGCATTTGCTGGGGAGGATCCTTCAAGCACTCAGTGGGTGTGATCATAACCCCCCAAAATGCCAGGGAAATGAAGCCAAGAGTTAGCAGAGTCACAATGACTGGAATGTCATGTACTCACCTGTACAAATCCAGGTGTTGGCATCTCCTTGCTCTGCGCTCCAGGTGCCCCAGCTGTGACATCCATGGTGTACCATCGCTGCCCTTTGCAGGGCTCCAAGCCCCAAGCATTTTGAAGACCTGGTGTGAAACCCACTTTGGCCTCTGTCTCAGCACAGTTCTTTCTAACACAAATAAAACCAGGGTGCTCGAATTGTTGGTTCAGGCAGCTCCATCTGCCCATCTGGTTTTGTGTCTTACTGCTCTCACTGTCATGTGTGTCAGTTCCCTCACGAGCATGTTCAGCTGTGCAAGAGATCTTCCTCTGCCTCTTTCCAGACTTTCCTTTAAACATGTGCACAGATAATACAAATCCTGACCAACTTCATAAAGAACTGGGAAAGAAAGAAGTAACCCTGCCCTCAGAGGTTCTTGTATGGGATCTCTGGTCAGCTGGAGCTTTGGGAGCTTCACTTTGTGTTTCAGCTCCTGCAGTGGGGTGGGTTTCAGGATGTGTGAGCTGGATGCTGCAGAGCATGGTCCAAAGGGAAGAAAACACCATTACTAATGAAGTTATGGTAAGGGCATGGCCAAATTCCATGCAGTCAGCTCATTCTCCCCGTGGGGAGTGTCTGGCTGCCTGTGCTGTCAGTCAGTCAGCACGGGGAAGTGCTGCTAGAAACCAGGGGAAATGGAAGATGGATGAGCCACAGCAGCAGCCAAGGTGCTTGCCCAGGCAGGGACAGGTTTGTGTGGGGTGTTTGCAAAAGGCCCGGCCAGGCATTGTTCAGGAGAGAGGTGTGAGTGCGGGGGAGCACGGGGTGAGACAAGGAACAGGGAAGGGAGATCCCAGCCTGCTTCCCAAGTGCTGCTAGAAACCAGGGGAAATGGAAGATGGATGAGCCACAGCAGCAGCCAAGGTGCTTGCCCAGGCAGGGACAGGTTTGTGTGGGGTGTTTGCAAAAGGCCCGGCCAGGCATTGTTCAGGAGAGAGGTGTGAGTGCGGGGGAGCACGGGGTGAGACAAGGAACAGGGAGGTCCCAGCCTGCTTCCCGCATGACAGCTTCACCTCCTTCTGCCAGCACTACCTGGAAGGTGTCTCAAAGGCTGCCAGGAGGGAGCTCGGGCCCAAGGAGCAGTGCCTGCCCGCAGAAGCCAGAAGGAGGTCAGCAGTGGGTGCAGCAGGAAGGACTGGAGCAGGATTGTTCAACAGAGAATCAAAGGGAGCAGTGACATCTCCCCAGTAGCAGCAAACCCATGGAAGGGCGGATGGGAGAGGCAGGAGGCAATGAGAGAAAGATGATGATGATGATGATGATGATGATGATGATGATGATGATGATTAGCGTTGGATGACCGAGGGCTGCAAGAGGAGGGAACCTTTGAAGGGACGGTGAAGAGGCAGCGTGGGGTGAGGGCAGAGGAGGAGGGAGCAATGGCTGGGGAAGGTGGGAAAGGCGGGATCTGGGCACGGCAGAAGAGGCCGGAGCAGAAGGGGTGAGAGCTGGGGGCAGAGGAGCGGGGGAATGCCGGGGGAATGCTGCAGGGACGGTGTCCCGGGAGCGCTGCGGGTGCGGGGCTGCCCTGCGGGAGCCGCGGAGCCGCTGGAGCGAGCGAGAGGGCGCCCGGGATGCTCCTGGGGAACAGCAGAGGGTCCGGGCCGTGACCGCGGCTCGGCATGTGCTGGAGCCGCCTTCCCAGCCCCCCTGCCAGCGCCAGGGGGGTCGGAGGGGGAGCGAGGGAGAGAGGGAGGGAGGGAAGGAGGGAGGGAAGGAGGGAGGGAGGGGAGCGGAGGGAAGCAGCGAGCGGCACGGAGCCCTCGGCATCCAGCGGCAAGCGAGCGCTCCGGAGCCGCGGCTTCTTGGAAGCGGAGCCCGGCTGGGCGGCGATAAGCGGCGATAAGCGGCGATAAGCGGCGGCTGTCCCGGCCCTCCCGGCCGCCCGCACCCTCCGCGACAGCCGCGACAGCAGCCGCGACAGCCGCGACAGCCGCGACAGCCGCCACGGCAGCGGAGCCGAGCCGCGCTCCGCGCCCGCCGGCCCGAGCGCAGGTGGGGCACAGGTAGGGCACAGGGCACACCTGGGCACACCTGGGCACGGAGCGGGGCTGCGGGGAGCGAGGCACCCTCTTCGCCCCCAGGGAGAGCTGCGGTGCCGGCAGGGGACATTACCTGGCGGGGACACGGACACCTGAGCCGGGATGCGTCACCTGGGGGGGATGTGGTCACCTGCGGGGGGATGCGGTCACCTCCTGGGGGATGCGGTCACCTCTGGGAGATGCGGTCACCTGCGGGGGGATGCGGTCACCTCCGGGAGGATGCGGTCACCTGCGGGGGGATGCAGTCACCTCCGGGGGATGCGGTCACCTCCTGGGGGATGCGGTCACCTCTGGGAGATGCGGTCACCTGCGGGGCAGGCGAGCGTCCGTAAGTGGGCAAGCCTCAACGGATGCCGAGGCTCCTGCAGAGCTGCAGCCGCGCAGCGAGGCTCGGTAGCTTTCTGTCCGGGGGGAAAACATTCCCGGCAGGAAAACCCCGGAACCCCGGCAGGACCGCACCTGGCTGGGGCAGGTGGAACAGTGAGAGGAGCAGGATGAGGTTTATGCCATCCCATAGCGTTTGCCTTTTGGAGGTGTTGTTGCATGAGCTGGTTGTGTTTTGCTTAACTCTGTCTGTGCAAAGATTACATTTTATTTGCCTTCTTTTTTTTTATTGCTTATTCTAGTAAATACAAGTTGAGGTTTTGGGTCACAGCCCAGTTACATTTTGATTCAGACAGAGTTTAATTTCCCCTTTTAAAAAGTGTTTTAAATAAGTTGGGCCATATGGAAGTAGAGCTGTTAATCAACCAAAGAAACTTGAAAGAGTTTGAAAAATAAGGTTATATATTTCTGGAGCCATTTCTTGAGTATTGAACTAGCACCAGTACTCAAACTCCTGATTCAGTCATTTCCGTTGCTGGGATCAAGACTTAATCTGTCCATACCTGCGTTTTCACAGCTGCAAAATAGGAATTACACCTATTGGAAAGTCCTTAATTAAAAACAAGAAAAGCAGAGGAAGATCATTTCCAAGGGTAGTAAACAGTGCAAAATATGTGTGAGGGAATGTTGCATGTTGAATGGAGAGGCTCCCCAAGGATGCCGTGGCTGAAGGAGTGTGCAGGGAGGAGCTCCTCTCTGTTGTGTTCCTGTGTCATGCAGCTCATCCCTTCCCTGCTGCTGCTCTGAATCCTGCACGGTGACTGACACAAGCACCACGTGCAGCAACGCAGGAAAAACTGCACAGACCCTGCCAAAATGGGCTGGAGCTGTCGTGGAGTGGCAGGCACAGCCTCTTTATGCCCCAGGTCTGGAGAGAGATGCAACACGTGTGAGCTGGTAGAGCACATTAACCTGGCAGCATTCTCCTTCAGTCAGAGCCTGGATACCCTCTGGGGGAGTGGAAGGGCTTCCCTGAGCTGGCAGCTCCTCATCCTGAGCCAGGGCTCCGTGCTGGAGGCAGGCAGGAGCTGCAGGGGGGTCTGTCAGCAGCACGGGCAGGCTGGGGAGAGGCAGGCCAGGAGGGAGTTATGTAATGGATTCCCAGGGGACAGGGCAAGGATGGGGTGGTTTCCTTCTGCCAGGACAAAGAACAGCTGCTCGACAATGCTCTCCCCAGCCCTGGGTTCCTGTGGACAACGCAGGCAGGGAGCTGGGATCCTGTAACAGCACATCCACCAAGGCCACTTTGCTCCCTTCCAAGCTAATTAATTCCTTCACAAATGCTCCTTTGCAATATCCCCATAAAGAGTCTGAGAAATGGACTAGAGCCACTCTGGCTAGAAAGGGAAAGCAGGCTCAGTCTGTGGGGAGGGGAAAGCTGTGATCCCCATTGTGATCCTCGTGTCTCTCAGGGGTCTGAGGAGTGACAACGTGGGGTTACAGAGCACCAGGACCAGGCAGAGGTTCTGGGTATAAAAACTTATCCAAGACAAAGCAAGGGAGGGGGAACTGTCTCAGAAGGGTTATTAATTTGTTCCTTTTGGATGAAATAGATAGAAAGACTGGAACTGAAAGAGATAATTTCTGTAAAATAGTAGGTTTAATATTATTTGAATCTGCACAGTTGATCTCAGCCAAAAGGCTGAGGAAGAGGGAGCAGACAGAGTTGAATTGTCCAGACTGTTGTTGGCCAGCACTGGATTTTGGAAGGTGATTGGCTGGTGACAATCCAGAATTCCAGACAGGAGTTGTGCAAAGGACATCAGCCAGCCTTTAATGGCTACAGGTGCTCGGGGCCCTGGCTGCAGTTCCTGTCCTCGGACGCTGCCTCCAGAAGCACAAAAGGGACATACATATTTATGAAATACCAGGTTTTATCCACTTTTTCCAACTTTTCCATTTCTGCTGCCAGTTTATTCTCCCTGAGGACAGACTGCTTTAAACCAGTATGTCTTCAAAGATAGAATGCCTGAAAACTATTGTTTTTATTCAGTTCAACTTTTTAGGGCAAAAAACTTGGTTTTCAGACAGACAAGGCATTTAATCACCAGTAATTCAGAAGATCAGAACATTGAGACGATCTTGTCATTAAAACAGAAATACCCTAAGTGTAGTTAGCAAACAGATTCATATGTAGCTGCTCTAGATGTGAATTTAGCTGCTTCAAATTATATAAAAACTATTTTATGGAGAACATATGCAATCATTATTGGGACAGTAACTGTGTCAGTGACATTGTATTGCTCATTCAATATGTTCTTTCCATGAATCCATCCCTGATCTGCTTGATGAAGTAGCAAAAATCTACTTCCATTGTTTCCATAATGTAAAATCTATTGGTCCTCAAGAGCTTGAAGGGCTGCATGTTTTGGGAAGAACGTTTTCACTGGAAGAGTGCTCAGGGAAGTTTGGAGTGCCCATCCCTGGAGGTGTCCCAGGAATTCCTGGAGGTGCCACTCAGAACCCTGGGCTGGGGACAAGGTGGGGATGGGGCACAGCTTGGATTTGGTGTTCTGGAGGGATTTCCAACCTTGGTGATTCTGGGATTCTGGGATTCTGGGATTCTGGGAGGGGTAGCTGCTCTTCCTGGGGCAGCTGAGTGTTACAGCCCCTTGAGGGGTTTTGGCCTCACGTGCTCCTGCAGGTCAGGTGTGGAATGGTGAGGACACAGCAGGGGTTGTGCAGTGCTGGAGAGAAGAGGCCAACATCAGTCTGGCCCCATTGCATGCTGTGTTTATGATTAGGGGATGAACCTTGCTCCTCTCAGCTGGGTCATTTCTTTATTTCACACGGTAGGAACAGCAGTAGCAAAGCACTCACCATTTTATTTCAAAAACCCTGGCTTACAGACCGTGTTTACCATGAGAATTTTCTGTAACCATTGTTGAAATGCTTTAAAATTGCAGTTTTAAGCTCTGCATAAATATCCCCAGGTGATGCTGTGTGTGCCTGGGGAGGCAGCAGGGGTGACCTGCTCACGGATCCCTCTCTGCTCCACCTTCTTGCAGACAGAACAACAACATCACTTTCTTCTTGCAGGATAGTTAATGCTCTGGCCCAGAATTACAGCACCAGATGTGTTGCCACAGAAACAATTTAAAGGGAGAAGGAATTGTGAGCAAATTGTCTTTCTTGTGGAAAATGTTTGAGAGCCTCTCCTTGGTTTCCCTGTTTCTGTCTATGTGCAGAGAATCAGGGACAGTTTTGCTTTTGTTTGGTACATCTGCTATTGGTTTAAAATTCTCTATACAGGGTTGAAAATTGAAAAATATTCTATTATGGGCATGACTTATGTACCTCAGAGACATTTTTTATTAAATCCTGATTCATTTTTAGAAACTTTTTTCC